AGTAACCATGGAGGGTAAAAAAAAACAAAAAAAAAAAAACTGAAGTACAAACAAGGTGAGAGGACAACTAAAGTAGGGGAACAGGGCAAAACGGATGCTGGTCAACTCAAAAACAAAATATAACAAAAAGAGGACTCATCATTAAAGAGTTGCAAACTCGATTTCTAACTAAAAAGGAAAATGAACCAAAGGAGCCCGAGTACGCTTATTCTGACAAACCAAAAAATACACAAAAAGCAGCACCCCTGGTCCTAATGTGACTAACAACTTTTCTAATGGTGTGATGCACAATCAGTGTTTAGTTCTAACCCAGTCCACATTAATGGTTATTGGTACCTTTGACAAAATCACAAGCAAAGTTCATAACAAAGAGGTACAGAGGCGAGCTGTCTGACAACGTGCAGGCCGTGCTCTTAAACTCTTCATCTTCTTCTCGTTCGAATGGCTGCAGCTGTGGGTCGGACTGGCGGAGTCATTGCCGCACCAATAGGAGAAGCCGACCGACTGCTCTGACCCATCCAATCATGGAGTCCGCGCAGCCTGATTAACATCCTGACACATTAAGCACATGGGGGGGGGATGCAGGGCTCAGGCTGCGGCCATAACACTGATACTTGTGGCAATCTGCATATTGTTTTTTTTTTTTTCATTTTTAATCTTAAAGTCTTCTGACTCCAGAAACACTGACTCAAATTACATAATTTGAGGCAATTTTTCAGACTTTGTGCTGCTCCCTCTGGAGCTTTATACAAGTTTTTCACATTCTCCCCTTGATTCATGTCTTTAATGGTTTACTGTTATATGATTTTTGGCCAGTAGGGGGCAGAGGAACTCTAAAAAAAGCTGTCAGACACGTAGCTATAAGACATGTAATTGTTACGGCTAATATGGTAGCAAACAGTTCTCGATCAACATTACCATCCAACTGGAGTCATGTCTCAGGCTAAGTAATGGCTCACTCTTCTTTTAGCTTAGTTTTGGTCTCCACCAACTTCTAAGGAAAATATCAGGCCCCTTAGCTGCTAAATGTTTGACTTTCTTCAGCAGCTAATTGCTGCCTCTTTTGTATAATGGGCAAGGTCGTTAGCAGACAGTGGCTTTATCTGAGCTTTTTTTGGTGGTAGTGGCTGTTTGCATTTGTCTAAAACAGTGTTTGTGAGAGCTGTGAGACTGAACCATTGAGTAAATGTGTGGTAAACGTTTTACGATAGTTCTCTGTGGGGTTTTTAGTACAACTAAGCCCATTTCGCTTTACACAGTCATCTGCAGCATTGTTAATATCCAAAATATTGATTAGCTCCACTTTAAAGCAAGTTGTCAAGTAGTTATGTGTCAGTGAGGATAAGAAGGACAATGACAGGTAGTTGGGCCGTGGAGGACTAAATGGTGAAAAAAAAAAAAATTAAGTAAAAGTACTGAACATGAGAGGAGGAGGAGGACTCCCGGTTCACCTCCTGGGTTCCAGGAACTCCCTTGGTCTGCTTCCAATGATTGCCCCCAAGCCCCTTTGCCCCCCCAACCCTCTTTACCTCTGCAAATACCTCTTTAAACCACCCCCCACCCCCACCCCCACCCTCCAACCCAAAATTTTCTGGCAACTCCTTTTATCGCCCCGATCAGGGTCGGGGTGAATCGGAGGTATTAAGCCGGTCGAGCCAAGTTGAAGAGGGGGTGAGGGGGGGGTGAAAGGGGGGGATTTGGGGTTCGGCGGTGGTGAGGAGACCGGGGGCTCTTTCCTTCCCAACAGTCAGGTCACCCCCTACCTCTCAAGCCCTGTTGGCATCTCATTGCCAAACTGGCTGCCCTCGTCAGGCAAACATACCCCACCCCCCGACCCCCCGAACCAGGCGGGCCGACCTATGCGCCCTGGGGAGTGCTAGTAAATGCCCCCAGGACTGAAGTTCTTTCAGTTATTCACCTCTCCTCCAAACCCACACGTCTTTCTCTGATTCAAAGCTCGCAACCTCTCTCTCTCCTCCTCTCTCTCTCTCTCCCTCTCTCTCTATCTCTCTCACTCTCTCTCTCTCTCCCCCCTTCCCTGGCTTTCTCTCCCCCCTCTCCCCGGGATGTAAAATATTCACAGCTGCTGCTGCGGTCAGGTCGCACGGCCACAAGACTCTCTGAGCAAACAGAGGAGCTGTGAACGTGTGAAGCCGATGGTGTATGTTTCATTTGAGGTCCGACACAGGTCCGATAGATCCTGATGTAGTCAAAACAGAAACCGCATACTGAGCCTCGCCACATGCCTCAACAAACCAAACACTAACCAAACATACCCAAGCACAACACTAAAAAATGACATTGGCAAACAGTTTTTAGAAACATGTTAGGCACACTGTAGAAATGGGAGAAACGATGTGTGGCTTGGTGCCGCTGAACAGACTAACTCAGATGTCATTGGGGTTGATAATCAGTGTGAAACATCTGTCTTGAATAAATGCCCCGCTTTTAAAGTCTGGCCTTGTTATGTATTACGGGTAAAAGCAAGAGCACATTAAGTCATGTTAAAGTTGCAATAAAAATACATCCAGCTATTCCAAGAGGTCTACTCGTGATATATATGCAGACTTGATTCCAAGTTTTCTGAATGAACAAGTGGATGAATTTGTATCTAAGTTTGAATCCAGATCTTCATGCTCTAATAGGGACTTAAATGGGAGGTTTTACATATGTAGATCTCTGAAGTAGTACCACCAAATAATAAAGACATCTTGGCTTAGGAATGCCAGCCCTTGAACTTTATGAGGGAGGGAGAGGGGGAGGTGGGGGGTGGATCAGTTTCTTGAACACATTTCAAAGTAATTGTACTTGATATGTCGTTTACAGAACACCCAAGTAATCATATAAACAAAGGACTAGATGCCCTGGGAGGATGAAAGGAAATTTGAATATCCCCCTGATGCATCATACTTACTCACGTTTTGACGTGAGTGTGAGACACCGAGGATTCCTGAGCACAAAAAGAGGATCAAGGACCCTTTTGTAATAAACACAGCAGGATAGACCAACTCTGGTGGGTTCCATCATACTCGGAAATGAACTTACGCTCACACACACACACACACACACACACACACACATACATACAGAAACAGATGGCAGAGAGTTGAAAGTGATGTATGCAATGAGCAAATTACAACTGTTGCAGCCCTGGGCATAGGGACGTTTGTGTGTGTGTCTGTGTCTGTGTTGTGTGATAACCTTGCTCTAGGTCTGATCCCGCTAATTTCTGGAATCTGTCTGAACTTTACCACGACATGACAAAAAATTGAAAAACAGTGGAGGGGTGGGGGGTGGGGTGAGCAAAATCGCAGGACCTGGACAGCAACAACACGAGCGAATGAGTTTAAAAAAAAAAAAAAAAAAAAAAAAAAAAGGGAAAGCAAGAGAGGAATAAAGAAAACATGACATCATAGTTAATTAGAATCAGGTGATAAACAAGGGAGTGATATTTACGTTATACCATATGCCCTGCTCCATGTGTCTCTCTGTCTCGGGGGGCACAGCAACAGGTTTCAGACAAGTAAGGTCAAGGAGGAGGCTTTTCCCAGCTGCTAGACCACACTGATGCACACACCTCTTTACCCAGCCGCCCAAGTGTGCGCGCGCGTGCGTGCGTGCGTGCGTGTGTGTGTGTGTGTGTGTCGGCCATTTCTAAAGCCTGTTTCGTCTTTGTTGTTATCACATAAAAGACAGTGTTTATCCTCCAGGAAGCCATGTTTGCCATGTGTACATGTAAGGGAGAGGTTTTTGCAGTGAGAAATGAAAACCCCTGAACTCATCAAGCAGGCTGACTGCTGGGCTTCTTTCAAAAGGCTAATCTCTTGCAGATTCCTGATCCATGTCTTGGTTTTATAAAGGTACTCCACTGACTCACTCACAGTTTGGTATAAACCCTGATTACTTTGATAAAGGCAGTTGTGGTGCTTTTTGGTTTCCAATATATTTGAATGCTTGCGCATAGAAGATCATTCTTGACATTTTGAAATAGTACTTTGGCAAAATAATCTTGCCCACATACTAGCTCAGTGGCTTTCAACCACACAGTATTCATCATTGAATAATTCTGCTCCATCGAGGCAAAATATGAAAAAGTCTATCAATATAATGAGTATTTGTCTTCTACCCTTCCCATACAGTGCTTACTGCGTTTGAATCCAAAGTCTTTTCTCCATAAAATGTGTTTGTTTGTTCATAATAATATACATTATTGCAGGTCTTTGGTCAGTTGATTGACGAACTCCCTTGAATGTTTTATTAATATATGAATTTATTTCTCTCTCTTTGCTGTGTATTTACAGTGTGAGCAACCAGTAATTGAACCGTGAAAATCTCAACAACAAAAAAAAGATTCAAAGTCAAACAAGTTAAAGACAAATATATTTTTTTATATTTATTCAGGTTTAAATGATTAGTTTTCAAAAAGAAAAGCATAAATGGTAAAAAAAAGACAAGACTTTGTCTTTTTTTTGTTTTTGTTTTTTTTTTTTTTTTTTGTTAAATATTACACAAAATAAATAAATTTAAAGAAAAAAACATAGACTTGCTGCTGTGTTGGTGCTCTTTTGACTGAATCCTTTCGACTGCCATTTTTATCTTTCCTGCTTTTTTCTGCCTTTTCTTCTTCTCTTCTATCAGTCAGCTTTCCATCAGTACTTCCTCCTCTTTCTTCTCCTCTTGCATCTTTGCCTTCTGTCATTTCATTTCATTTTCATTTCTCCTTAATCAAGCACTTCACATGTACACAAGTCTAGAAATGTGAGTTACTAAATCACATTTTGGCACAGAAGTCGTTTCTTTTCATATTTTCTACTGTGCCTACGTATTTTATAACTTAAAACAGAAAATAATATATACATTGTATAGCAATATATCTTATTTCTTTCTTTAAAAATAGAATTGTCTTTATCCATCAGAGATAAATGTCTCTAGGTTTCCATTCTTGTCCTTCTCAGTGCATCATTCAGATCCCATTCAGATCTGTCCAATGTAGCCATCACTGTAACTCCAAAAAAAAGTCTGATACCCTGCAGTCTGCAGTGTTCTCCCATGGCTGACGTGTCCAATCATCGTGGTTGTACCACAATGGGCAGGAAGTGAGTGGCTGTGTTTTTCCTCCGTGTCTTCCTCCCCTTCATTGGCTTTCCGTTGGCGTTCAGTCCCACAAACATGTGCTTCTTCTTGTTGCGCCACTCTGCTGAAGCGTAGGTGTTGTACTTGTTCTCCTCAATGCGCTCAATCAGACGACAGTCCGGACCAAAGTCCCTCTGTGGAAGAGGAACAAGGAGTGTAAATGGGAGCACAGAGCTTATAGGTCATATTTAGTGTCTGGCATGGCTTAATATCCCTGATGATGAAGAAAAAAAAACGACTACCAAAAGTTTATCAGACAGTGCGTCTGATAATGTAATTTGTTAAAACATGAATCATCCACACAAGTCTGAAGGCTGATATACTTCTGTGGTTTGTAGTTTACAGACATGAAAGTAAATAATAAATAATGTCAGTAGATTCTTTTCTTCTAATGGAGCAGCAGTCTTCCTGTGGGTTCTTTTTAATCTTTCACTTTCATTATTACTATCCTAAATAGTGATTATTGATTGACTGGTGACTGGAAGATTGCATATTTTCATGCTTGCTAATGTTGAGGTTGTTCTTCCAAACATTGTCTGAGCTCAGAAACAACATGTTGATATTTTCATTGTTGTGATTAACAAATGGTCAGCCGTTGCTTAAGAACATTCCCCCGGGTGATGATGGGGGCAGGGAGGTTAGCGTGAGATTTGACGTCTTAGAGGTTCGGGCTCGTCGCCAGCAAAGAGCATCGTGACACCATGTTTGTGGTTTACATTACCACAGTGACCACCCACTGGTAAATGAAGAGAAAATGATCTGAGAGAGTAACATTTGTCAGTTTACTGGAAGCTGCCCTTGTGCTTAAGGCTATCGTCGCTTAAACAGCCAGTTAACTGGATGCAGTCGATATTCACGAGCAAAAATGTACTTGCCCCCACACACACACACACACACACACACACACACACATGCACAATATAACTCAGTCTCTCTCTCTGTATCTGGCCACAGCTGTTCAAATTGGTTCCAGAAGTAAAACTGAATGTTCCCAAAGCAAAATGAGAATATTTTACAGACACTGTGCAGCTTTTTTTTTACTAATGCTGGTGCTTGGTACAACCAAACAGCGTGTGTGAGCTGGCTGCCTTTCAATTAAAATGATTAGTTAAGCAGATTTAAAAGAAAAAAAAAAAAAAAAAGATCATAAATTAGATCAAATTATAGCAATGAATCATGAAAAATAATAATGTCAGGAACGTTTGAGTAAGTGACTTACTGCTCAGATCTTAAAAAGTAAAAAGAATATTACTGTTAAATTAAGAGATATGTACAGTGTTATACCCCAGACCACACACTGAATTTGTCATCCATCCTCGGTTTTCTTTGAGAATTTTATACAAATTGAATCACGGTAAAACCTAAAGGCAGTCATAATCCTTACATGTATTAATCTGGTGATAAAATGAAACAATGATTTCATTTGATTACCACTGGATAAAGAAGTCACTGTGTAAACCCATCAAGTGTAATCGAACGCCAGCCCTTCACCACCGTGCTACTGTGGTTTATGTTGCACCGAGCAGAAGACGTCATGGGAATTCAGTTTCAGGCCATGCAACAGAATGCCTCTTTTTCTTTCTTTTCTACCGTGTGTCATTTCATCTGTGGTGTGGCTCCAGAGAGACACGCTGAAAGTTTGGGTCCTTTCAAAGTAAGGGAAAGAGAAAAAAAAAAAAAGGGAGGGAGAGAATGAGATGAAGAAAAGGAGGGAGGGAGAGAAAACGGATGAAACAAGGGCCGCTCTCCCCAGAGGGACTGAAGCAGAATAGAGAAACTGCAGGATTGTGTTTCCTGTTTCTGAATGGAGTGGAGAGGAGAGGTAGATAGCAGAGAGGAGAGCTCACATTGACTAACTGCGGTTCCTATTTCTGGAATAGAGTCTTGCAGCCTTGTCCATTGTTTTAAAAGGCATTCAAGAAAAGCCACAGAGTCAAAACTTGAAAGAAAAGTGTCTCTTTTGCAAGACTTTGAGTCACTTAGATTGACAACATCATCAGATGAATTCAACCGTCATGAGAATGAAAAAATGTTCATGTTAAAAGTAGAGTAGATTTTGGATGAAAAAGTACCAGATACCACACACACGAAAAAAAAGAAGAAGCGTAGATCGCTGTGAAACGGTACTGAAACTGCTACTCACCGCTCCGTATAGCACTCCCTTCTTGTTGATCGCCAGGTAGTGGTTACTGCTGAGGCCCCTGATGGCCACCACCCCCACATCCACTGACTTGATCTCCAAAATACCTGGTGCAGCGGGGACAGAGAGACAAAGGTGTCAAAACTTTGTGTGGATCATTTCCTCAGATACAGTTGCATTCATGTACGTTGTCGGTTTCTTTCTGTTCTGCTGTCATTTACATTTTTTCTCATACCAGACAAAAATATTTACGCTCCTCAAGAGAGCTAACCATTTGTTGCAAGTGTTAGCGTTGTTACCAAGAAAACATTGCTAATCCTTCTCAGAGACTGTGGGATCTGACACACCATAGAAATAGTATTTGATTGTGTTAGCATTAGCTTAAAATGAGAGCAGGTAAATCTCGGAATGTGAGGGTTTACAAAATGGCTTAAAAGTCCCAAAATACTGCAGGAGAAACCGGCAGTTCCTTCTTCACAAGTGAACCCCAGTCTTGTCTCCCTTTTTTTTTTTTTTTTTTTTTTTTTTGTGACTGTCAGACCTCAGACCGGCCTCTTGCCCCCTGTTCATTTGCTGGTTAGCTTGTGGGCAGCATGCCCTGGGATCGAGGTGTAAGCCAGGAAAAAACATTTCTCCGTTCAGTGTTTGTTTTTCTGACCAGGGGAGCTCAGGCAGGCAGTGCAGGCAGGCAGGCACACGGACAGGACGGAGAGAGGCTTTCTGGCTGCCAGACTGGCAAGAGGTCAAGGCGTCCGTATCAGTTTTCAAGCCTGAACCAATTACTGGTTTAAGCTGTGGTCGCCGGCCCTTTCTTCTCTCATCCTAAAGTCGGTTACACCAAGCCATAAAACTATCAAGGGTTTTGAGAGGATTAGCTAAAGGGGCCGGTAGGAAGTGGAACCTGGTTGCAGGAGTAGTCAGAAGGAAGAAGTGAGAAACAGAGAGAGTAAATCCAGAGAATCTCTAGAGGTCTATTATTGTCATTCTTGAGCTTTTTTTAGACAGTTTCCTGTTTGAGTAATGAGTGATGGACTGCCTCATGCATTGCTAAAAAACAAACAAACAAACAAACAAATGCACATAGTTGTAGGTTTACCTAAAAAATAAAATAAAAAAAAAATGTGGAAGAAATGGTGATGAGGAGAAGCTAGGGAATGTTTAAAGATCACGCAATGACTTTGTTCTTTAAGCTTCAGATTCTCATATAAATTATACCTGTCTTTTGACCAGATGCCCCTTCCCTGCCTTTGTTCAAACTCTCTCATCCTTAGACAGATTTGCAACATCCTGCAGCCCTGGTGTGAGTTCTGTGAAGATGAAGGGGGATGAAGGTTGGGGAGCCTTGTTGTAGCTACAGATGGAGACATCCGAGAGCATCTGCATGCTGACTGCTGTGTTGTACAGCTGTAAATCCTAATTCTGAACCTTTTATATATTCAGATATATTTCTTTCTTGGACTGTCTTTCTTGCTGCATTTACATATATATCACCACGAAACTGCAAGTGTCACTGTTGACTCTCTCTAGTATCTGCACTGAGAAAACATTGAGAAATAAGCAAAAGGAGACAGTCTTGCATTTGTCTTGCGGAGCATAAAATTAATTTGTTTTGCACTAACAATTTTCCATCTTGTCTGTGTTGTTGTTTTGGTTTTTTTTTAAATAGTTTTAGGCCTTGTTTCTTTTTGTTAAATGTTGGTCTTGGCTGAAGAACACTGGCATTAATCTATCCCCTCAGTTCCCTTATTTGGTCAATAAAAGCTTGCTCAACCTCTAAAATTGAAGAAGATTTCCGTGGCTCACAGTGCATCATGTTGGCTCGTTATATTAAGTTCATTACTCATACAGACGTGTACCACAACACTGATCTATCAGGTTCAAAATGTTCCATCTCGCTGCACCACAGCTGACATTTCTGAGCTGTGATCCGTCAAAATAAGATCTGTCTGTGTTGCACTAAAGGCCGGTCCACCTGTTCAAACCCTTTTTCCCTCCTCCCGTTTGATGTGGTTTGTGAAAAACCAAAAGCACAGGGCTCTTTTATGGCCGCTTTACCAGTTACCAGAAGCAGCCCGTCTGCCTGCGAGTTAAAAGGCCAGGCTGCAACAAAAGGCTTAGATTGCAACAACAGAGTTTATGGCAACGGAGACGGAGAAAAACAGGACCTGAGCTTGTATCACTGCAGACGCTCACATCAGGACACAGATGCAGTCATGCGAACACATTTAAACAATAAGGTTCAGCCTCTGGTACTGGGCCCACATTGCACTTAGAGCTTTATTATTTTACTCTCTAATTCGACACCTTGTCTTATTGGTATCTTGAGTCTGTTAATGTATTTTTCTCTTTTCTCACTTTTTCCTAAAAAAAAAAAAAAAGGGAACACTCTGTTTTTCTCCCTCCGTGTGGCCCCTGGATCTCAGCCCAGCATATTAATTATGAATATATGTTTTTGAGTGCAAAGAGAAAAAGTTTTATGACCTAACACTGAAAACACAAATAGCACAGGGTTCACTTAATATAAAAGGCATGGACATTTTCCGCTATCAACAACCGACCAAGGGCAAACACCTGTGTGTAACAGGGCAACACTACAACTTTCATAAAAACAAGCCAAAAGGCGTCTTTGCCAGTCAAACCCCAACCATAACACTGACGGAGCTACAAGTACAAATAAACACAGCCTGGCTTTCTAACAGTAAGAAACTGTTCATTGACCACTTCATAAAGACCACTACGTTGTTTCATGGGTTTTGTAATGAAAGTCCATTGCCTTTTTTAAAAGTACATTGCAAATCAGACACACCGTAAGCAGAAGGTAGAGACACAACAGCAGCTTTCATAAATTTGAGCCAGTTTGCAAGATAATTCACTCAGCCTCACTAACCAGCTCTCCATCTAAATGTAGCAAAATTTAACCAAAAAAAAAAATACTGAAAGAAAAGAGCAACAAGATGAATTGGAAAAAAAAAAAAAAAAAAGTGCCAGTCAAACCTCAAATGGAGAAAAACAGTGTAGAAAACCAGCTGGAAAATGTTTGTGTTTGTTTTTTGTATTCATTTGCGGTTCGTTAGAGCATCTTCATCAGCTCACACAGACCTGAAGTTTTCTTCTGCAGTTACTTTTCATCTCTTTAGTGGATGTTGAAGCCGCATGTCTCATGTACGTCATGATGTATTTGCTGAGTCTTTCTTTTGAACTTTTGCACATTTAGCTTTTATCAATAAGCCGACTTGCCCACCTCTGCCAAGTATAACAGATATTTTGTGATATTTCAAGGCGTTTCCACTTTTTTTGACAATGTGCAGAGAAACACTTACACTTACTGTCTCTCATATCTCTCTCTTGCTTCATCTCCACTGTCTCCTTTGATTTTTTCTCTCTCTCTCTCTCTTCCTCACATCAGTGCTCCTTTGGCCTCCATCTTTATTCCTTTTCTTTGTGCTCTTATCTTCACTCTGTTTTCCCTCATGGTTAACCCCACAATTTTTCTTCCTCTTCCCTGAAGACCTCAGTCTATTAATGTGACTGACGACTGACTGTGTCTCATCATCCCAATAAGATCTGTAGCTTGACAACGCACCGGCAGGAGTTTGAGTTTTGTATAAAACATGGTTGGAGGAGTCTACGGTTCTTCAGTTTGACATGAAGCTCACTTCAATTCTTTGAGAAATATTTCTCTTTTATTAAAGTATGTTTTGGGGTTTTCCATGCCTTTTTATTAGAGAGTCAAAAGTAGTGAGATGACAGGAAGTGAGAGAAGAGCGAGGAGGAAAGAGATGCAGTCAGAATCACACCCTAGTCCACCCCACGTTGAAAAATGTTTCTGATGAAGAAGACTGTCATCACTTCAGACACCATCGGGATTGGTCAGTAGGGTTACTAAACGTAACTGAAAGCTTCTCAGAGAGGCTTTCTAAAGAGCCGCTTTTATACTTTTGCCTGGGTGGTTCTCAACACTGACTCAGTCATGTTACACTGTTTCTACTGGAGCAGGATGTTCTGCTACTCTCTCGATCTCTACAAGCGTGTCGTCAATCCACCATCTGTTCAGTCCACTATCCTTCAGTTGCACCATGCGTTTATTGATATACTACATTATTTCATGAATGTAGGTAACTTTAAGACTATACGATACTTTAAAAAGAGCCACAAGTTTCCAACTGTTGCTGACAAGCAGTACATTGAAATTGGATGTGCCCCCCCCCCCCCAAATTTATTCCATAGAAGCATTAAAATATGAATTTTTGTTCAATATATTCAAAGTGTAACAAACGCAATTTAGGATTAAAACAACTGATCAGTTTTGAGAAAAATGTACAGCTGTGAACAGTAGACCCTGGCTTTGGTAACTCAATTATTTTTCCAATGACCACACACACAATCACATGTATATACATTAAAAAGCATACCCATAGACACGCACACACACAAGAACACCCACGCACACACACGCACACACACACATACACAGGAACACACACATGCACAGACCTCCCGCCGACCCCCGGCTGGCCCCTCTGGAAACACGGGCAGTGAGACTCCAGCTGAACCTAAAGGTTAAGGGAGGTTGTGAAAATGTTTCCACTGTTTATCCAGGGGCTTTTTTGAAGATTATACTGCGGTTGTTCACATTGTGACCTCGACGCGGTGACCAGCTGTGAGCAGGTCTACTGCGTGCCTGCAGCCCGGAGAGGTCTCACTCTGCATTGTGAAATATTGTCACTTGCGGACTAGTTTGTGTCATGAACTCCCCTCAGTGCGAGGAATGGAAATGGTTTGGGTTCTTTTATTCTACGTCCAAAGCTCAGATATTTGGATGAACCCTTGACTTTTCCGGTTGTTTTTCTGCAGCGACTAATTCTCTCGCTTTTTTTTTTGGATGTGAAATATAAATGCAATGTTCAAAAAAACAAAATTTTCACGAAGCAAAAGTGGAAGCACTATTATGTATTGTTTTTAAGATTTAATATCTGATATGCATCAGTTGAGGTCTAAACACTAAGATCATTTTTTTCTTTGAAACTATGCAACAGAGTGACTGACAACATGCTGTATTCACTGCGACATGAAAGTTTGCATCCATGCAACCGCCAAAATCCCTGCC